AGGAACACTTGAGCTCTGGTCCCTCAAGTGGTGACAAATGAGTTTCACAGAAGAGCCCACCCACCTACCAATAATTCAGAAGATGAGTAAGCCACTTGTAGAGGATTATGAAAACATAACCAGATAAAATCCAGTTCTAGGAAGAAAGAGGAATAATCTAACCATACCCCTGGAATTCCACCATAGCTTTGCAATCAAAGAATGCCTGCTTGATTCAAGGACTTCTTCCCCCTGTAAGAATAAGGCAGGGTAGAATGTGGTATGATCCATCTCCCCCATTAATGGATCTGTCCTGAACGCATAATTTCAGGAGAACTCTGCTGATATGCAAAGTATATTAAAGCTCAATGGAGTCGGGTACTTCGATGCCTGGCTCTGCTTGTCGACCTCTCTGCCTTGCAGGCAGAGAGGAACCCAAACAAGCAGTCTCATCTCAAGGGGTAGGCAACTACCGACCCTGTGTATGCCAGGTCTACAGAGAATTTCTGCCTGAGCCTATAGGCTTAGAAAGACCCACGTTAGACTGGCCTTCGGTTACTTTAAACTCATTATAAATTAAAACTTTAAAAAACTCTTTTTTTTTTTTTTTTTTTTTTTTTTTTTTTTTTTTTTTTTTAGTTATTTTAAAATTTGAGATAAATGAACTTTTAAAATATTTTGTTTTTATGTCAGCTCTTGAAAATAACTTCATTCATTTGGTTCAACAGTTGGCCAGCATTTTTGTATTTAATTCTTAAGATTTTTTTCCTATATGCATAAATTGCATCTATCCCAGAACTTGTTGGGTGTTTGAAACTGACAGATGATATCCCATTTAATCTGTGGGGTGTATTCATTTCTTCTGAAAAGTGTGCTTGGTTCTGCCTGGTTTTAAGAGTTTATTTCTATAATCAAATCATATTTATAAGGCTAGTCTGGCTTTTTCCATTATCAGAATGGGACCTTTTTTTGTTTTCATTATCAGATTAGGACCTTTTTTCTGTTTTCATTATCAGAATGGCACCTTTTTTTTTCTGTTTTCATTATCCGAATGTGGCATTTTTCCGTTTTCATTATCCGAATGTGGCATTTTTCCGTTTTCATTATCCGAATGTGGCATTTTTCCGTTTTCATTATCCGAATGTGGCATTTTTTCCGTTTTTCATTATCCGAATGTGGCATTTTTCCGTTTTCATTATCCGAATGTGGCATTTTTCCGTTTTCATTATCCGAATGTGGCATTTTTCCGTTTTCATTATCCGAATGTGGCATTTTTCCGTTTTCATTATCCGAATGTGGCATTTTTCCGTTTTCGTTATCAGAATAGGACCTTTTTCTTTCTGTTTTCATTATGAGAATGTGACCTTTTCTTCTGTTTTCATTATCAGAATGTGACCTTTTTTTTCGTTTTCATTATCAGAATGTGACCTTTTTTTTCCATTTTCAGTATCAGAATGTGGCCTTTTTTTCTGTTTTCATTATCAGAATGGCACCTTTTTTTGTTTTCTTTATCATAATGGGACCTTTTTTTCTGTTTTCATTATCAGAAAGAAAACTTTTCATTCCATGAAGAAATACAGATGACTTAGTAACTCTATGTAGAAAGAAATTTCAAATTCCTGCTGGGACATTTTTCATTGTCTTTTGTGCTAATGCCTTTTGGATAGGCCTGAATCCATCTCTCCTTTATCCCAGAAAATGTTTATGTAAGCAAAATGCTGACTTTAGATAGCAACCATTAGAGTGGAAATACCTCCTACTTTTCCCCAAAATAATTATGGCAATATACAGTTTATATAGATTAAATGAAGAAAGCTGTGGAGAGGCATGATTACTTATATCCTGAATGGACATGGCACTTGGGGAGGTGTGTTATTAAGAGCTTTTTATGAAAGCATTGTTCCAGAAAATTGGTATTCAATCAGGTAAGATGGCTGTTGTCACATGCAAACATGTTTGTTCTTTTCTCTCTTCCTTAAAACCTATGAAAAAAAGAATTTTAAAACCTATATGTTCTGGAGAAAAGAAATTGAAGAGGACTTTTTAATTTTCACTTTTACTCTTTTCATTTGTATTCTTTCCTTCATCTTGTTTTTCTTCTCAGATGAAGTGTTTTCATTATTCTGTGTAAGATTCACACAATTTCTAAAAAAATTTTATTCTTCATTTATATTATTCAGTTATCTTTAATATAATATTACATGTGCTTGAAGAAAACTCAAAAATATATTGAACAAATGCTTGTGCTAAGAAAAATCAAGACAACAGTTAGAAAAATATATGGAATCAAGATACATTAATTTTGATAACTTCACATTTTTACAGGCAGTTTTTTCGGAAATTGTCAAGAGTTAGTTAATTGTTTTCTCCATTTTGTTACTTTTGTAGAACAATATTGCAGGTCAACCCACTTTTTAACTTTCAAACAAAATAGTGTATGATGAATTGGAAAGTATGGCAGAATGACAATAAATAAGTTTCCTGACTAACAATGAATTTTCTGTAGCTAAATTGGTTATGTTGCTGAACTTTTAAAGATTATGAATCAGTGATAAAACAATTGAATCCATTGCCAAGACTTGATTAAATTAATGTGATATGTAACAATTTTATTATAAAAATGACCTCATTACAAATTGATAGGCACTAGAGCCTTCAAATGATATGGATATTTACTATGAAACAGACAGACGACATGAGAAAGTCCAGAGTGTAATTCCAAATAGAATGAAGACCAATAGTGGATTGAAGTTTTAACTTTGTAAATTTGATAAATATTCTCCACTTGATATCAGAAACATTTAATCTTAATCATGTTAGAGTTGAGCAAGTTTCAAATAATAACAGACTTTGTCTGCTATCATCTGTATGCTGCTTAGTTCATTCTGAATAACACTGCTAATCTCTGACTTTCATGGAACACAATTCCGCTAATTTTGAAGTCCTTTCTTTATACCAACTATTGAATGTATTCCTTACTTTGGCATTAATTGTTTTTATTGGAGATTGTATTTAAAGTTACAGATTAAAGTTGACAGTTCTTTTATAACATTACAAATATGTATAGAATTTAAACAACAGTTGCAATAGTCTTCATCTCCACAGACCATTATTATAATGAGTCTCCAACTTCAAATGTTCAGGAATAAACATTATTTCTTGTGGTGAACAGCCCCATGGAAGCATGCGAGCCAGAGTGGCTTGCATCTTTTGCATAGGAAAATAAGGGTCTTACCTTAACGTGCAGCACGTGACATCAGCAAGTTTGCTACATTAAAATGGCATTACTCTCCTGTCTAGCAATTCCAGCAGTATGTGCGGTAATGACGGTTTTTGTACAGTTTGGCATGCTTCCACCAATAGCAAGTCGTGTGCTGATTGGTTGAACTGAAGGAGGCTATTTGCTTCGATAACTGAGAATAAAAGCGAAGAATGCTGATTGGTTGGTTGACCACGGTGTTGGTTCTGATAAAAGAGGGCTGAAGCAGTGAAAACCACAGAAGAAAATTCGGATTTACGTTGTGAAGTGTGCAGAAAGCAAGAATGGCAAATTGAACCAGCAGTATCTTGATTTGTACAAGTGACGTCATAGTAATAGAGACTCATTTAAACTACATTTCTCAACTGGTAGCAATCAGTTCTCAACTTCATATCTATGCTGATGATACAAACATTTACTTCTGTCTTGATAGTCTGATCAACTCAATAAGATCAGATTGGCAGCTGATTTAAAGAACAATTTACTTTCTGTTGGTAACTGGGGCAAGGAATGGCTTGTTAATTTTAACACCTCGAAAACAAAACCTTACAACAACTTAGAAAGCTTTTTGGCTATCCAATACATGAAGTGGTTTAATGGTTAGCCATATTGAAATGGAAATCTGCAAAGCAAGTTTGAATTCTGACTTTTTTTATATTCAGATCACACCAATTCCATTGAGGGAAGCAGGAATCTATTTTCTTTTGAACTCTGTCTCAATGCGAGATATCTTAATGAATGAACACTCTACTATAAATACCTTATTAAACAGGCATGTTGCCATCTCTGAAAGATGCAGATTAACATAACAATTATCAGCTCACAAAATAGAATCAGTGAACTAGAAACTAAGCTGTATGTGTCAAGTTTATATTAATTCTCTTAGAAAAGGCAAAAAAAAAAACTCACTTTCTCCTGCATTCTGTCCCAATATCAAATATTTTGACAAAACATGTAGATCTTAGCATCTGTTTGAATATCTGGGATGAGGAGTTATCCTTAGTTACATGTGGACTACTGTCCCCATCTTTATTGCTGTTATCACAGTGTTTCAGCCGTTATGTCCTCCGGCTTTCATCAGGTGTAATTCAATCCAAGTAACCTCTGAGGAACTTCAAACTGAACCTTTTATTTTATCTATGGGGGTAGATTGTTCACATTCCACTGTCAAGGGATATCTTGTCTAGTTCTTATTTTAATAATACTCAGTTACTGCTCGCCACCATTTCCACTAGGTTTCTGTCATAGTTTTCTAATTAATTGGAGATGTTGGTGTATCATAGTAGTTACTTGTACAGCAAACAAACTAAAGCTGTCCATGTTCACTTTGCATTAGTGTCTTTAGAAAAGGCATGCTTCTACTTCTCCCTGTACTATGTCTTATCACCAAAATTGCTTGATAGAAAATAGTGGATTGGGTAATTCTCTCTTAAAATTACCTTACCTGCCGAAATAGTCAAAATGATGCTATCCCTATTATCAATCTTGATAAAATCCAATTACTCTCGTATTAAAAATTATCATGTTTCCTCTGAAAGAGGTGTTAAATGCTGTGTGTATGTGTATGTAGATTATCCTAATTTCAAATATTGTTTAATTCTTTTGCTCATCAATGAACTGAATGATTTCTATAAACTTTCAGTAATTTTGTGAATCCGGAAGAAAGAAATCTCTTAACTCGAAGCTTATTTGATAAGGATAGGATTTGAGAATGTTAAATTTGTTTTTCTTTCATTTCTTTTTATATTTTCCACTTTGACAGGCAGCTCTCAAACTGAAGTCCACTATCCTACAGAAAAAGAAACCTGGCCCATTGACATCCGGTTCCACAGAGGTAATTGTCATTCCTTATAAATTCTAAGTTTTCTATCTCTCGTTGGTTCATGAGACTTCTGAAGCAGACCCAACTTTCTGATCCTCTTCAAACGTTTTGAACTTTTTTTCCAATATAAATAAATAAATATATTTTCTGTCATTATAACAACAATTTTGAAAAAAAAATGTTTTTCTAACCATTTTACCTCGAAGCAAAGCGACAAAATGTTACAATGTCAACAGTATATCTTAGGGGAGATCAGACTACTAATACATTGCTTTCTATTTCTTTTCTTTCATTTTAGATTTATTTTAATTTTAAAGATTTAAAAACTGAATTAAAAATTATACACACACACACATATATATATATATATATATATATATATATATATATATATATATATATATATTAGAGATGGGCGGTTTAACCGAAAAACTGACTTTTTTGGTTTCATCTTCATACTGTGAAACTGCATCGAAATTTTTTACAAAACCGAAATTGTTCAATTTTTTTAAAGTGCTATCACAACTGAGTGACCATATCCAAAGAAACACTACTGAAAAAGACTTTCAGATGTTAATTAGATTAAATTTTATCAACATTTATACCATTGTAAGAGAAAAAGATTGAACAAAAATGTTAAAATCATTTAATTGACGAGTTTTAGGAAATAAATGTGAAATCTAATTGTTTACAAAAGAAATGAAGAAGAAAAAAGGAAATAAAACATGTCTGAAATCTGTTTCAGTTTCAAAAAAAACTTTTTGTGGTAAAATTAAATTAACAACAAAATAGCGAGTAAAAGATAAAAAAAATAGTTGCCAGTTTTGTCTTAATGTTAAATTTTATGAAGTTAGATTTTTTGTAATGAATGGTTTTTGTTTTAGTAAGCCAGTACACCAATCACAAAATAAAGTTGTTGTAAAGTAAAAATGAATGAAGATTTTTTTTTTTTATGAATAAATTTGTTTTTTATCTAGGGAATGCACCCAATAATTAAAATAGTTCTTAATTTCACTTTTAAAATATGTATATTTCCAGATATGCAAGTCTCTAGTGTAAAGTAAAATTGTTTGTTTTCTAGAAATAAAATTGTTTGTTTTCTAGAAATAAAATTGTTTCTATCTAGCGATTACACCTAAAATTAGATATTAAAAAAATAAAGTAAGTTTTAATCTCAGTTTTAAAATGTGTATATTTTCAAAACTGCAAGTCATTTTTTTTTTTTTAAACCAAAGTAAAAATTGTTCTTTTTTAGCCACTAGTGTTCAGTGGGTGTTCTGCCTATAAAATTCTTCTAAACAAGGAAAATTAATTAATTTTATTTTTACAACTATCTTTATGGTTCTGTCTTGCAATTAAACTTATTAAAATGATTAAAATAATTTTTAATTTCAGTTTTAAAATGTGTATCTAAAAAAAGAAGTGCTACTCGCAGATTTGGAAATCTACACATTCTAAAAATGAAATTAAAAGCTTTTAATTATTTTTAATATTTAATTTTAGGTGTATTCACTGGATAAAAACATAAAAAAAAATAACTCATTGATTTTCCTTGATAAGAAATTTATTTACAAAACCCCAGACTGGCATACCAGAAAAGAATTGCCGTATTTATAATTATTATAAACTGAAACATGAGGGGTACCATTTTTTTTGGCTTTTTAAAAGCCATATCATAAACTAATTTCTGGAGAGCTGTACCATTTTTCTCTCTCAAAAATGTGTTGTTCAAAGACACAAATATAGATATTTTATGCAATGATTTCTTTCATATTTTACCAATTTGTTAATAAATATGGTAGTTATTTCATAGTTGACAATTTATTCAAAAGTTTAATAAGCTTTAATCTAAGTCATGAATTCTATGACTAAATTACCTGACTTTAGGTGGACAATCCCTACTTTATTACCAACTCTGATTCATGGTTTTTGGATTTTCAATTACAGTGGTCTAAAGAAATGCATGTCTATAAAGTTTTATTACCCTTGCTTAAAACAAAAACCAATTTTGACCACTTATGCACCAGTTAACAGACTTCCACAATGAAAGACGTTTCAAAAAACAACACTTGAAAGTCAAAAAGTATATGGGGGTGTTTATTTTACATGACAAGACCATAGTTTTAATAATTTGAAAGTTCTTTTATCAGTTAATCTTTTTTCTTTTCTTTTTTTTTTTTTTTTTGCTGCTTACTTTATAATTTTTGAAGGAATTAACTTCCACGGGTCAGAGAAGAAATGAACATCTTCCTGGTTGTAGTTTAAGGTGTCTTCTAATTGAGTGTGTGTACAATTTCAAGAATATTGATAAAGATTGGTCACTTTGATTTTGTGATACAAAGTAACATGTAAAATTTAGTCTAAAAAAAAAATCGTATTTCACTTTTTTGGCTGTTCAAAGCAAAATACCCATTTAATTTGCTGTGAAAAAAATAATTCAATGAATAATGACACATACAAATTAAATATTTAGAAATATTTTTAACATTGGACCAGAAGTACACGAGAAATTGCGAGTCCAATGGACTAAATTGCAAATTTATCAATCTGAAATGAAATCAGATAACGACTGGAAATGCTATCATTTACATTACTCAAGAAAATGAATGGCTTCCTTAGAAAGCAAAAATACTAAATTAAAAATCGAAAAACTGATTTGAAAACTGCGGTATCAAGAAGAAACCAAAACCAACCAACTCTAACATACATATATATATATATATATATATAGTGCTGGTGTTAATAAAAAAAAAAGTTATTAAGTATACATTAATAAATATACATATTATCCCTCACCACTAGCACGACTCTGTGTTTCATGCATGATGCAATCTTCAGGTGCTGAGTATGAACTGATCATTACACAATTTTGAATTATAATCTATCTGGTTATCACAATGTTGGTGTAGATATGTATTATACTGCGATAACAGCTTTTTTAATTTTATAATTATATTTGGCAATTAAAGTGAGTGAGATTTATATATGTAAGTAAAAAAAGAAACTTAAAAAATTATATATTTTTCTGGGGTATAATCATATTTTAATTATTTTTTTAATTAAATAATTAAAGGGAGATTACTTGTTCTTATTAAAGCATGAATATATATTTGATAGTAATCTATTAAAAATAACAATTAAGAATTTTTAAATTAAAAATAAAAGTTAAAAATTATAGAATTAAAAAATTAATCTGGATCAACATATTTAAACAGAAATTTATTTTTATTCCTACACTAACTTAAAGCCGCCACATCAGTGAGCTTCTGCAGATGACCCTTGACTGGGCCATTGGCTTGTTCAGGAGTTTAAGAGTCCCTAAGTTTTGGCATATTCTCAGCACTGAAAACTCTCCTGGCTGCTGTTTGATCTGGACTTTCATTTGTGCAGGGCTTTCTTTCCTCGCTACAACCTTGGCTCTTTTGATTGCAATCTGGTCTTCTGTTGGTGGAGATTTCTTTTTACAAGGCATACTTCTGTTGCATGCAATAGACAACAATAAACTACAGAAGAACTCAAAAATGATTGCTACATTTCATTATTGCATTAATATTTAAGCTTACCTTTTAAAAGTTCAACAATAATTCTATCACCACTTAAACAAAATTTGGTTTACATAGCTCCTTATTTTCCATACAAACAGTTATGTTTATTTCATGGGTGACTTTCGCTATATTTCACAATTAATTTTGATTATTCCCATATTTATTTCTAAGATATGAAAATTGTTATCATACAAAAATTTGTTGCAAAAATTGCATAGGAAAAATTGATGAAAACAATCATAGTAATGAAAACTTGGGAATTCAAAATTTCAGGATTGCAAATTCAGATCCAGTCTGGAATGTTTTTAATTTGCTCACAGTCGGCCTGATTCCAAAACGGTATCATGTGTTGGACTGCAAGTTTTAGGAATAAAGTTGAAAAAGTGTGCCATACTGACATACACATTTATTTATATATAGATCTATCAATTCATTTTTAATAAATTAGGGTTATTTAAGTATTTTAAGATAACCAGATTTTCAACAAGACATAAATTGCATTTATTTCCATTACCATTGTAAGCCTTAGCCCTAGATATAATTTCCCAGTTGATTGATAGCCTTCAGTCTTTAAGTGCCAGAAATATCTGGCAAGAGCATTGCTGTTTTTGTATTTTAAATTATTTAAGGTCATTCTATGATGGTAAAAACAACATTTCAAAGGATTTTCTGTGAAACTAGAATAAAATTTAACTTTGTGACCAGAATGTATGTTTACTCAGTATATAATATTATTGGTTATTCATTGACTGTTTAAGGGACAGATTGTATTTTTATGGCAGTTGCATTTATTTTTAGAAGAATTTACTTTGTTTTCTTGGAAATATGTTTGTATAATATAATGTTATGATGGGAGATGGATATGTCTTATTAACGCAGCTATAGCTGATTTTAACATTGTTTTTATTAAAAATCTTCTTTACTGTGTGTGAATGGTTAAAGTGATTAAATTTAGAAAAATTCTTACAATATTAGTTTTGACATTACGGTTAAAAAGTGGATTAAACAATATAATGTTGCATTTACGGTGTGTCTACTTATTTCTACCTTTTTTGTTTATTTCTAAATAATCTAAATTTACTTTATGATGGCTTAGTTCTAAAGCTTGCATATATTTATCAAATATTTCTTTATTGCTGAACTTTGTGGGTAATCTAACTTGAACAGATTTACATAAATTATCTAGAATTTTATGGTGGTGGTTTGATTGTTTACTAATGTATCTATGGTTATATAGATCCTTTGTATATAAAAATCACTATTCAGCTCTAAGGTTACATCGAGAAAGTTGATCACTTTTGCATTGGTGGTGGTGGTGGTGGTAATATTTAGTTTGTGATCTTTACAAAATTTTCCAGTTCTTTTCTCAATTGGTAGTTTTACAGAGGAGAATAACTTGTCTTCTAAATTATGCAAAAATGAAAATAACACTCACATCTCAGTTTGATTTTTCAATGTTTCTATTAA